ATCAAAGGATAACAATTATAATTTGCAAGTGGGACAGAATATATAGTCTAGGAGGCAAAGATTCAATCTTGAGCCAGTTGTCTTTGAATACTGGAAAGCTTATCACCTCATCCACTTCTTGTTGAAAAAAACAAAGGAGTTTAGACCGATCAATACTTAAGCTCTCACAAATCCTCCTGAATAAACTTCTTCAGTTTTCTTTAGAGGTGGTTCAATTACGACAAATGATGTATCAACAAGGTCAAGGGCAGAAATAATCCTACTAGTTTACTGATAAACCTCTTGCACACCCACACAATTCTTTCAAATGGTTGAGCTGGTGGTGAGTTTTTTGAAACTGCTAGTGTGATCTCTTAATCTTAACACTGCACCAAGAGCAGTTACATTTGGCCTAAAAGTTTTTTCAAGAGGAAAATTCAGATGGAAATTGTACTTTCATTCTTCATATTCTATTTCACACATCCACTGACTTTGTTTGAAGTGTTAAAAAGCCCTGGGTTTCCAGTGAGCAAAAAGGTTATTCCTGAAGGAAAATATGGGAACTCCAGTGCCCCATGCACAAGTATATTTGAGAAAAGGATAGCATCACTACTCTTGTGACATATTCAGTAGAACTTGTGCTAGCCTCCAGAGAGAGGAGGAGGACATTAATCTTAAGTCTGAAGTCTGTTTAAACACAGCATTCTGCAGAGCTGGGTAACTCTAGTATAACTGGTAGGCAAAGGCAGGAAACCAAACTGGAGGATGGAAAGGAACATCTAAGAAGTTAGTTAGTTCTACTATCCTCTCTAGTTATTCCTAAAAAAGTGTTCTTAACAAAATGGCAAATGTGAAATTTAAAAGAAAATTCAAAGAGAAAGATGGTGAGAGCTAAACACAATAAAAAAATGGGTTAATGATGGAAATCAAATCAAGAAGCAAGATCTCCATCCTGAAGAGTACTGCTGCAAAGAATCAATCCTACCAGTCAATGAATCCTGTTCTCACAGAGGCCCCAGGAGTTGGCCATCAGGGTCAAACATCCAGGACTTCGTAGCAACAACTGCTTGGTACCCTAAGAAACTGAGCCTTGCTCAGTCCAGCTGGATGGCCACCCTGTGGGCTGCCAAGGGCAACCAAAGCCATCTTGTAGTAAGGCAGGCCTCTCAAATGCCGCCAAAATAATCTCTGAAGCAGGAGTTCTGGCTTCCCAAATAATGAAGTTTTGGTAACTAAATGTTTACACAGCTACTGAAAAGCAGTTACTCCTCAAGGTGTTTATGTGGAGGGTAGCACTGATATTATTTTTAAATCAGGGAACGAAGGCAAAGTCTGCAGACTTTGTCATAAACCCCAAAGGAACTCATCCGAAAGGAGATAGCTGAGGAGAAAGTTGAAGGTCTGGCTGAACATTAGATAAACAACAGACTCAGCAACAAAATGACCAGTTTGGCCTCTTCTTCAGGATTTGGCCCCTGGCCAAGCCGATCAAGTCAGTAGTAGCACACAAAGAAACAGAACTTGGGAGTTCCTAACTTCCAGGCCTGTATTTTGCTCAGAAGAGAACCAAGGAAGCATTCATAACCTGGGTTTATTCCCAGCTTTCCTTATCAAGGAATGGAAAAGCTTGAGGCTCAACCTTAAAGATGGTAACCTTTCATCTTTATAAATGAGTAACACATTTCTGCATCTGGCACGGTATTCACCTAGCAGCATCCAAAGGTTTAACTACATTACTTCACAAGAGTCTGGGATCCTCCTCCATTAAACAGAAGAACCACAAGGATAAAACTTTAAAACCCCTTTCAGCTCCTAATACTATTTAACTTAACTCCCACCAAGCTAATGACAGCTTCTAACTCATCTTCTCTTGATCTGAAGAAGTGTAAAATTAACATGACATAAGCCAAAAGTCAACCTACAGTATGAATCAAGTGTACTGCATGCATTTTGTGGTTCAAATTTTGGATTAAGAAATCAAGTCAATGGTGACCGTATTTTCACAATCCAGTTGCAAGACTTTTTCTGAGACCATCTGAAGTAGGGGGAGACTATGGATAAAGCTATGGAATTGTCATTTACAACTTTAAAAAAATTAATACGAGGAGGGCAGCTTTGGTTCTCAAAAACCTTTCAAGGTTCTTGCTAATAAAGCCAAAGGCTCAGGAATGTGACCATGTGTGACTGGCAATGAGATTCATCACGAGGTACCCTCAAAGGTAAAGTTCACTACTCAGTCCACTCTCATAGTCTACCTAAGCATAGTTTTACTGACATATTAGCAATGAAATAATTAAGATATCCCTGAACTGTATGTAAAGCTCTCTGAAGTTAGATTTTGAGCAGAAAACAAGATGGTTTAATCTGTAATTCAAGAAAATAATTTCACATCAAACTTCAATCCTTAAGCTACTACAGCTGTAATATAAGGTTGAGTGTTTATTTTTTTTTCAAAGCATTTCTCCCTCACCTCCCAAACACTATAAATATGAAGTAGCTAAAAACTGCCAATTTCCATCTTGGTAACATCTGGGATCCACAGAAGTGATTTTTCAATTACTTGGAAATTCAAAATAGAGGTTCCCTAGTAACAATGCACCGGTGGCCAAGTCTCCCCATTTTGTTTAGTTTGTGGGAGAAAAGTTCTTTAAACTGGAAAGAATTTGTAGTCTTATAAAGATTACGTTGGAATTAGTTCGTTTTTTCCTCTAGGAGAGCAGCCACTTCTCCAAAAGTTTTGGTAAAAGTCATGGCTCAGATTTCAAAACGCACACAGATGTTCCTGAAGCATCCGAAATGGGCCACTCCATTTTTATTCCCAGAGCCACGACCCCTCGGTTATTTTGTGTCCCCCGCACCCCCAACCCTGTAAAGGGCAAAAACTCAACCCCTCTTTGGTGTAAACTTTCAAGAGAAGTGCAACAGCACATTTTTGGAGTTTCCCCAACGGTCTGGGGACGTGTCAGGTCAGGTCGTTCGGAGAATCGGGGCTGGAAAGAAATCTTGAGAGCCAAGAGCCCTCAAGAGATTTCCAAGCATTGGGCTTCTAAAGGTTTCCACGAGCCTCTTATCTACCTAGTTCCAAGGGTAATTAGTGGTTGCTACTGTAGGAAGGAGGCTGTTCCTTCTCGAAGCCCGGGCCGCGGGACGGCCTTGGTGTATACGGGAAGATGGGGGGGGGGGGGGCGCACCCGGCTCTCTGCCCTCGGGGTCTCCTGCTGTTTGCCACGCCAGAAAGACGCGAGGCCAGAGCTGGGCCCTCCGCCCTCCCCCACGGCGCCAGTCTTTGGAATCTGGCGTCGCCCCCACCTCGCCCGTCGAAGCAGAGGCCCCGCAACGCTGGGCCCCGCCGCCATACCCAGGCCGCACGGGGGTGGGGAAAGAAGTTGGCAAAGCTCGGCCTCAGGATCTGCGCCCCCCGTGGAAAGAGCAGAGGAGAGTCGTTTCACCTGGTCTCTCCCCAACTGGGGTCTCGGGGAACACGCGGTGATTGCCCAAAACCCCGCCATCTGTGCGAGGCGAGGCTGCGGGGCTGCCGGGACGGTTTGAGGACAGGGCCCGGCCGGGAAGACTCCAACCTTCACCCCCCCGGCCCCCGGTCCCACTCCCCGCCGTCTCCCGGCGCCACCACTTCAGGCAGCGCACTTGGCCCGGCCTCTCCCCGCGCCCGGACCACCCCCCATGGGGTGCTCTCACTGCGCAGCGAGTCCCTCCGCTGCCTCCTCCCAGCCCAAAATGGCGGCGGCGGCCACCGATCCTTCTCGTCGCCTTCCTCTAGGCCGAGGATCCCTCCGCACCCACAGCCCCGCCCCTCTCAGCCGGATCTATTTTCTGTCCCGTAAAGATTAACGCCATCAATGAACTCTTTAATTGATCTCGGAAGGCGGGTTTTGTTGTGCTTCCGCACAGCTAATCGTTGACGAAAGTGAAAATATTGGCAGGCAGTTTGACCAATCAAAGAAGGCACCGGTGAGCGCGGGACGCTGCTCGCGCAAAAGCAGATGGGTTTTGTAGTTCTCGGTCTGACTGCGGTCGTGACAGGCTGTTCATCCGGCTTCCCAAACTAGAAGAACTACAATCCCCAGCAAGCGCCGCGCTGCCAGGCTGGCTCCTCCCCCTGCCCCCCTTCTTCCCCGGGCGGCTTGACCAGAGCTACTACAACTGCAGCAAGAAGTAGGGCTGAGGCATTGGGAGCTGCACCGACAGGCCGTCGGTCGCACAGAAAGACACACAGATATAATCGTGTGCATAGCCCTTGACAGCAAATAGGTCAGTTCCGCCTTTGCAAAATCTCCTTTCTCGGACCACTTCCCCTCTTCCAAGGAATCCATCCTTATTCCAGTTGGGCTTCCCTTCCAGCCGCATGTAGTGTGAAGACTTCTTCCCCTTTCCTCTGTCTCCCGTCCTGAGAGGAAGGAGGGGGAGGCAGGCCAGGCCCAGGAGATGATAAGGCTTCAGCCCCCGGCCCGGCCCAGACCACGTCTGTGTTTCTCGAGGTGCTGACTTGGGGATCCCCAGCCTAAGGGGGGTGGGGCGGGGTGCTGTCAGGATTGCGACCTCTGGAGGCAGTGAGGAAAGAACCCCTTGTAAAGTCGGCTACATATTTTCTTGTTCCAGCCACTGACCGCACTCCACTACCAGCCTCTGCAGGTCATTGCTGTATCTTTGCCTCCCTTTACCCCTTTGGTTGCTGGGGGAGCAAAGTTCAGGACTAGCGTCCTAGCTGCCAGCCTGGGTCTCAGTGACTTCCGGAAGAACAGCCTAGGATGTAAGCCCTGGCCTGGGGCCTGAGGGACAGGACTGGGAGGATGGCCCCTTGCCGCCTAGAGGTGTGAAAACCCGGGGAGTGGAGGCCTGAGGGCCTGCATTTCATAATGAAGTTGTGTGGGTCCAGTGCTACAAAATGGCCGCTTCTGCCTTGGTGAAAAATTCCTGAGCAGCCAGCCTTCCTGAAAATTCTCCTTTAAGACTTAGCTTTCTGTTATTTAAGGCTGGTGTCATAAGTTAGAAGCATCTGCTGAAAGATTGGGAGCAGAAGAAGGTGTCTACTCCAAGCCAGACCAACTGTAACACAGAGTCAACAGCCGCCCTGGAGGAGGCCAAGGTAAGCCCCACCTTCCCAACCGCCTGAGTGCCCCGACATGGATCCTGCCCACTGGGATCCTTGTCGCTTGTCTCAGGTGTGTTGGCTGATCTGGAAAACCAGTATTTCTAACTGAGTTCCTACTGTGTGTTGGCAGTATGCCAGGATGCCAAATCTGGGCCGTCTCATGAAATCCTAGCAGCCCTTCAAGATAGGAGTTACTGTATCCATTTCAAAGAAGCTAAGGTTAACAGAGCTGAAATACCTTTTTCTAGATTCATGCAGTCAACGAACAAAAGATCCACAGTTTAAACTTAGGGCCTTCTGACACCGGAACCCTTCCTTGTATTTTGTCAAGGCTGAGAACCAAGTCTGACGCAGGGAAAAGAGTTTGAGTGGTTGGTTCATAATTTAGGGTGGGGCTTGGGGTTCACAGAGCATCCAGGAGACAGGGAGAGACCGGTCGTATCGGAAATGGTCACCCTCTGATCTGGCAACAGCAACCCAGACCTTCTCTGCCCATGCTCTCTCTTGCTGCTCCCCACGCTGCCTATTCTCCCAGAGTTTACAAGTCCCTGTATGTGAGGAGGGGACTCAGCTCCTCTAACCCACCTTATGTAGCCCCTTCCAGTGTTTTCTGGAGTTGTTTAACTTGGAGTTCATGACATGTTGGGGTTAGATGTTCAGAGAGGGCAGGTGACTCACCAAGATCACATAGCTTATCTGCAGTAGTGGGAATGGCGGTGAAGGGACAAGCCTTCAGGAGGGAGGCAGCACTTGGGGCTGAGGGGCAGGGGTGGTTTGGGTGAGAGGAAGGATCATTAGGTGACACGTGCTGAGGGCTGGGGGTAGGTGAATGATTGCGCACACAAGCCACCTTGTCTTGGCACTGCCAGGGGCCTTGCCCCTTCTGGTGTGGGCCAAAAGCTCTGTCTCACTTGGTTCAAGACACTGGTGGAGACAAGGACTGTTCCCGATTGACGATCTCCCTGCAGGTGAAGTAACAGTACAACACAGACAACATAGACGCCTACGCCGTTCGCACTCTGACATACCCCGTCCCAGATGAAGACGAGAACCTCAGGGCCTCCCAAACACACAACACCCCTCCAGCTCCTACAGGGCTGCACCTCTCCCCCCAGTGTCTGGACCTGTGCTGGGGTGTGTCTGACCCGTGGTGTGCACCGTAAAGCAACATGCCAGTGGTAGCGGTTATTATTAGAATTCCCAAACCACAGACAGAGAGCAATTCATTCCCCATCCCCCACCCCGAGTGCTCCCACCCTTACTTACCACGACAGAGATAAACAGATGCTTTGCACATACACTGTCTTGACAGAATCCTTTCCACCTCCTAGATAAGTTCTAGAATGCTCTCTGCTGCAGACTGGAGGTTCACCCTTCCTCTCCCTATCGAGGGCCTCTTTCCTGCTGCTTATTGCAAGAACTGATACCAGCTTCTGCTTGGAAAAAATACATTCCATCTTCTTGACCCTAGACCAACAGAAATGAGTGTCTCGTGTCCCAGTGTCTTTTTTTTTTTTTTTTTTTTTTTTTTTTTCTGTCCGGTGTCTTTTGAATCTCCCTCTCTTATGGGCTTTATGTCCTTTAACCTGTTCATCGAGCTCTCACCTTGGGCCATGCAGAGGGACACAGTGGTGGACTGGACAGACAAGACACATTCTTATAGGAAGAAGACAGACGGTAAATGGTATTGTGGTAGATGCTATGTGGGATGTTAACTGGGTCACACGGCAGTGTCCCTGGGAAGGGGAGATGGGATCTTTAGATAGGGTGGTTGGGGGAGGGGGGTGGCCCTCTGAAGAGGTGACATTGGCACCAAGCCCTGAAGAGTCAGCCATGCACATAGCTCGAAGCAAGATCGGCAACGTAATTTGTAGGGCTCAGTGTAAAGCGTTCTTTACTCAAAAACTGTTAAGAAGTTCAAGACAAGAACTTAAAGCAGAGCATAAAGCAAAGCACAGGGCCTTTCCAAGCAGAATGGGGGTGAGGGGCCCTGAGGTTGCTTACCCACAAAAACCAAGTCCGTTGGAAAGACAGTCTTTCTAGAAAGAGGGCTCATCAAGCAAATGCAGCAGGAGCCACTGCCCATCCTGTCTCCTCCTTCTCTTTCTTCATCCCCACCGTATTTATGGTAAGCCTCCTCTGTGAGGCAGGGGACGGCTACTGTTAGAGGCACTGCCATTCCGGAGTGAGCCACACAGGCAGAAGGCCCGCTCTTTTCATGAGTTCCCTTGAGGAGGGTTGGGTGAGGGGTGGGGGGCAGACAGGAGCCCATAAACCAACAAAGCGTTGCAGAGGGCAAGAGGCTAGAGAGGGACCCCACTTCAACTGTGGGAAGGTCAGTTTTTCAGGCCGGGTGGTTGCAGAAGGCTTCGGGCGCCAGGGACATGTTGTCTGTGATTCGCTCTTCCTTGTCCTCTCTGTTTAGACCCCTGGTGCTCCTGGGAGCCCCCCAACACCCCCTGAGCCTCATGACCCTGGTAGTGCCCTGCCCCTGACACCCCGGATAGAGAGCCACTCAGAGGAGGAAGATCCGAGCGGGGCTGGCAGTGGCCTGGGCTGGATCAGCAGGGGCTCCCGGACCCAGAGCCCCGGGGGCAGCAGCTCAGTGGAAGCCGTGCTGGGCCGGAAGAAGCACCGCCGGAGGCCTTCCAAGCGCAAACGCCACTGGCGGCCCTACCTGGAGCTGAGCTGGGCCGAGAAGCAGCAGCGGGATGAGAGGCAGAGCCAGAGGGCCTCCCGGGTGCGCGAGGAGATGTTTGCCAAAGGCCAGCCCGTGGCGCCCTACAACACCACCCAGTTTCTCATGAACGACCGCGACCCTGAGGAGCCCGACCTCGAGGTGCCCCACGGGGCCTCCCACCCAGGCTCCAGCGGGGAGAGCGAGGCCGGGGAAGGCGACGGCCGGGGCCGCGCTCACGGCGAGTTCCAGCAGAGGGCCTTCTCCGAGGCCTACGAGCGCTACCACACGGAGAGCCTGCAGGGCCGCAGCAAGCAGGAGCTGGTTCGAGACTACCTCGATCTGGAGAGGCGGCTCTCTCAGGCCGAGGAGGAGACCCTGAGGCTGCAGCAGCTGCGGGGGTGCGCCGGGCGGCATCCCTGCCGCCAGGTGGAGGAGCTGGCTGCCGAGGTCCAGAGGCTCCGGACAGAGAACCAGCGGCTGCGGCAGGAGAACGCCAGGTGGAACCGAGAGGGCGGCGGCGGCCGCGGTGGGGAGCCAGGGACCTAGGGGGGGACCCCCCCCCCCCGCCCCCGCCAGGATCAGGTCCTGTTTCAATACATGCTGGGGCAGCTGGGGCTCCGGGAGGCAGGTGACAGATGAAAACCACTTCCGGCCCCTCTGTGGCCCCTGAGAACAGCGAAAGTAGGTTCAGCCTTCCACCTGGTCATTTCTGTAATTTGGTCTTTGATGTCTTCTTATTTTTCACAAAGAAATTAAAGGATTTTCACGAGCCCAAATGGAAGTGGCTAAGATTGATTTCACTGGGGCTGCTCTGAGAATCAGAGTATACTGTGTCCCAGAGAGGTTTGGGCCTGTGGTCCCAATCCCTGCCTTTCCCCAAGCCTGGGAGGCCTCTGTACTGGGGAACCACTGAGACCTCCAGGATGCCTGAATTCTGCTCTGTGTGTCCGGGAACAATCAGGCTGCTCTGAAGGTATTACAGAGGATGAGGCAAGGGGAGGGGGCGCTCAGGAACCACCGGGTTGGGCCAGAACTTGACTTAAGATGCCAGATTGCTGTGAGGAGCTGCGGGTGTCCCTGGAGGGGAGAGGGCTGGGACTTAGGAGGGCTTCGGTCAGGCTTTGTTCCCAGGCTCCCTGCATTCTCCCTGTCGTCCCCATAGCGTGGAGGGCCAAGCTGGATGGCTTGTGTCTCCTTGTCCTTGGCAGCCCCCTGGCCCCATACCTCGAAGCCAGTGGCTGGGCAGGATGTTAACCATCACTTTTGCCCCACTTACCTCCTGGAAGGGCACTTACAAGTATGCCCTCAAGGGACGTTTTCTACTTTTTTTTTTTTTTTAAGATTTTATTGATTTGAGGGGCACCTGGTGGCTCAGTGGGTTAAGCCTCTGCCTTCAGCTCAGGTCATGGTCCCAGGGTCCTGGGATCGAGCCCCAAATCGTGCTCTCTGCTCAGCAGGGAGCCTGCTTCCCTCTCTCTCTGCCTGCTTCTCTGCCTACTTGTGATCTCTGTCAAATAAATAAATAAAATCTTTTAAAAAAATATTTTATTGATTTGAGAGAGAGAATGCACACGCATGCATAAGTAGGAGGGGCAGAGGGAGAGGACTAAGTACACTCCTCTCTGAATGGGGACCTGGATGCAGGGTTGGCTCCCACGACCCTGAGACCGTGACCTGAGCCGAAATCAAGAGTGGGACCCTTAGCCAGCTGAGCCACCCAGGCCCCCCAAGGGAGGTTTTTTCCTAATGGAAAAAAAGCCCTGGGCGGGCTGGGGTGAGGGCGTAAATCAGTTCTTAGCAGAGCTGGTGGCCTGGCTTTCCCACTGCTCACTTCCGCTCTGTGCCTCCTGCTTCTCTTAGCCTAGTCACCTGTGTGACTTCCCTCGTTCGCTCTGAGGTGAGCCCCTCACCTGTCTGTGATATCTACAGCTGAGTTAGCTGGAACAATGCAGGTCCCAGCCACGCGCCAGGTAGAACTGGGCTCTGAATTGAGCTCATCCAGCACCACCACCACTCCCCTGCCCCCGAAGACCACCCTTCCCCAGACACCAGTGTCACTTCATCACTGTGCCTGCGTCCATATTGGTTGCCAAGTTCAGGCTGGGGTGGTGGAGAGGGAAGTTAGCCAACTTACCCATGAGCCTGTGTCCCTCGGCCACACACCCCGTGCACGGGGAGGGGCGGAAACCTGGCCAGCCCAACCTAGCTTCCATTCCAGGAAGGCTCATCTTGACAGGCCACATTGGGCAAGAGAAGGGCTCGGGCCTCTGAGCTGCTGGGATGGAAATGTTGACGAACCCTGTGTGTTGTCTGGACAACTTTCATTTCTGCCCTGCCACACCCAGGCCTTGCCAGCGCCTTCAGCAAGGGAAGCGAGGCGAGAACAGTTTCTAGGAAGGGACAGTTTTCAAGAAAAGGGCAGACTCTCCTCTCCCTGGTGGGGGTGGGGTGGGGTGGGGGTGGGGTTCTGCCGCAGATTTTAGCCCCCTTCTCTTTGATCCCCAAGCAGCTCAGGAAAGACCAGAGGAATGACTGTCCCCACTTTGCAGATGGGAAATCCAAGGCGCAGAGCAGGTGGGAGAGGCTTTCTGAATTCCTAGCCTGCCATCCTCCTTGGAGTGCCAGCTGGGGATCCGAAGGCCGACACCCTCCCCCACCCCCCCCACCCCCGCCCCGCAAGGCACTGGCAGCCCCAGGCAGCCTCCCAGCTGCCGCATTCCTCAGCAAGGAGCCTGGGAGCCCAGAGGCAGAGGTTGGGCCTGGTTCGACAAGGTTGTTTACCCGGTGGTGTGCGGTGATTAGGAGGGGTGAGGAGATTGCTGAGGGGGCTGCAGGAGAGTTGGGGGAGGGGTGTGACGGGAGGGAGAAGTGCTGGGGGTGTACTCTTGCCGTCCCTGAGTAGGCAAGAGCTGCTGGGCGGGGACAGGTGAGGAGATCCGCTCTTGTTGGCTCAGAAGCTGAGGAGCCTGGAGATGGGAAAGCTCCTGCCGGCCAGCCCCACCCCCGAGAGAGAGAAATAGAGAGAGAGAGAGAGAGAGACAGTCTCTCTCTCTCTCTCTCAACCTGGGTTAATATTACCAAAGGCTGGGGCGCGAAAAGAAGAGTGTGAGCAAGGAAAGTGTCTTTACTGAGAGGGGTCGGTGAAGGAGACTAAGTGTCCCCTCCTCCCCGGATCTGGATCCCTGACCTCAGTGCCCAGGAGCCCCAGGGCTGAGCAGCACTGGGGTTGGGGGGTGGCTCTGCCACAGGTGGTGGCCAAGTGTGGGCCCCACCTCACCTTGCTTCTCTCACCTTTTCCCCTCTCTGGCTGCCTGGTCCTGAGGCCTGGGCTTCTTTCTACCCCACAGCAGTGACAGAAGCTCCAACTTTACAGCAACCCCCACCCCACCCCACCTCTGCCACAATAGACACACCTCCTCAGCTGGGGAAATTGGGGCTTAGACACATTCCCATTCCCTCTCCAGGCCTTTTAGAACAAATGTTCAGTGTCTGCCTCCCTCATGCCCATTTGCTTTCCAGGATCTCCTTGGTCACCTGGGCCAGGAGAGGGAAGCCCACAGAGGCAGATACATTCCACGGGAGCGAAGCTTCCCACCACCCCTGCATACCGTCGCCCACCTCCTCCTCTCTTCCCCATCAGAGACTCCTTCCAGCTCAGGTGGATACTCCTGTGTCCAGAGAGGGGGCAGGAGGCGTCTGCAGGAAGTGAAGAGGGGGGTCTGAGGTGATCAGGATGAGGGAAGAGGGGGGCCAGTTCCCACCGCTCCTGCTGGGTGTAAGCAAGGATGGCACTGGCCCTTTAAGTGGGGGTGCCAGCCGATGCCCTCCCCCAGCCAACCCAATTAGTGGGCACACTGAGCATGTGCAGGAGCTGTGCAAGCGCAGGGGAGGGAAGTGGGGGGAGAGATTCCGGAGGGAACTCCTCACACCCCCCCCCACTTCCTGTAGCTGCCCCCACTATCCTTCCTGGGTCTGACAAAGGAGCCCATGGTGCTCACCCAATCCTTTCCCCCACCTCAGGCCCGGGTGGGTGCTACCCCCTTGGGACTCTGGGCAGGCCCTCTGGGCCCTGGGAAGTCGGGCAGCCCCCCTGCCGCCCTGAGTGACACACACACTCAGCCCAGTGCCATCCCCACTTCTCTGGCGTGGGTGGCAGATAATCTTCCTGGTGCTTAATGTGTTTGATATCATTCCCTTGGCACCAGCGTTTTTAAAAGAACCATCTACCTGTGATGAAACTGCTCTGAAAATTAGAAACAGCCAAAAAGATGAGGTCCCTGCCCACACCCACCCTGGAGCTTGCAGTCCACACTCAGAGGAAGCAAATAGCTTGAGGTCTGTTAGTGCCTGTCCGCCTCCCTCCCTGGTTCTTGCCTTTCCCCTACAGGCCATTGGCTTCCCAAGTCCAAGGCTCTGCTGCTTCAACCAGCTGCCTCACCTAGACCACCTTCCCTCTTACTGTTCTCCCACCTCAAGCCACCCTGTTCCTGCAATGCCCCCCCATACCTCAGCCCTTCTTCACCTCCCTGCCCCCCTTGGCACTTGTTCTCTTTCTCCTTTAATCTCTTAGCTCCAGATTCCCTTATTTCTTTTTATTTTATTTTTTCAAAGATCTTATTTATTTATTTGAGAGAGAGAGGGAGCACAGCGGGAGAGTGTGAGGGAGAAACAGACTCCCCGTTGAGCAGGGAGCCCGATGCTGGCCTCCATCCCAGGACCCTGGGATCATGACCTGAGCTGATGGCAGATGCTTAACCAGCTGAGCCACCCAGGGGCCCCTGGGTATCTTTATTTGTAATTGAGGTAAAATTCACATAATAGAAAACTAACTGTTTTATTTATTTATTTTTTTTTTTTTAAAGATTTTATTTATTTATTTGACAGAGAGAGATCACAAGTAGACGGAGAGGCAGGCAGAGAGAGAGAGAGAGGAGGAAGCAGGCTTCTTGCCGAGCAGAGAGCCCGACGTGGGACTCGATCCCAGGACCCTGAGATCATGACCTGAGCCGAAGGCAGCGGCTTAACCCACTGAGCCACCCAGGCATCCCATAGAAAACTAACTGTTTTAAAGTGAACGATTCAGTGGCATTTAGTGCGTTCACAACGTGTGCACCTGCTGCCTCTGTCTAGTTGCGACTTTATCACCCTAAAAGGAAACCCCTGTCCCCCATGAAGCGGTTAGTTACTCCCTGCTCCCACCTTTCTCTAGCCTGGGCACCACCAATCTGCCTTCTCTTTCTATGGATTTACTTATTCTGGATATGCTGGTGGTAAAGTCAAGAGGGAAAGACTGGTCTCCTGGGGCTTGGATTTGAAATGACCTGAGAGGACCTGAGGGCATGTTGTAGAGGGAGCACTGTACTGGGAGGCTCAGACCTGTGATCCATCCCAGTTCTGCTTTTAACTCAGGGGCCTCCTTTCCTTTGTTCAAGGGCATAGTGGGGATGGGTGGGTGGAATGCTTCAGGCCAGTCAAGGATCCTGGCCCTCCAGGGCCTCTCCATGGCCAGCGGGCTTGTGTCTGGGAGTAGCAGCCTGGCCTGAAAAACAGAATACCTCCTTGATCCTCTTGGCTCCTCCCTGCTGGGTCCAAGCAGGGCCGGTGGGTCTGGGGCACAGTGTGATTCATACTGGGGGGTTTGTGGTCAGATGCATGAGACGAGGCCTCTTTGGCTCAGAGAGGTTGAGAAGCTCACAGCCAGTCCTGCCTGACCGTGTTCGAGCCATTGACTGCTGTGTTCTCCTGTCTTCCTAAAAGATAAAGCAAGTTA